CTAAATTTACAACTAATGAAAGTTCCTCTCCCGAAGATATTGGGACAGTTTTACCCCCTAACCATTGGATGTGCTACTAAAAGCAAACTTCCAAACCTCTAAATACAACTTCCTTCCGGCATTTAAAACTATGCGCGAATGAGAAGAGCTTCCTACGGAACTTGCTCATTTAAATTTATGTGAAAAAACCGAGAATTTTCCATTGAACATCACAATATTAAAAGTGAAATATTGATACTGAACCGTTGAAAAATTCGCATGCGGAATTGAGGACGAGTTGCGCGACGTACCAATTCGAGCACGGAATCTTGCAGCGGCGGAAATTACCCTTACAATTCTGGTGTCTAGTTTTGCATAAGAAGACATATCCTTAGTGTTCATGGTGCTCGTGATACGCTTTAATCATTAGTAGATATTTGCAGAGATGATTCGTCGAGAGAATCGCCTTAGGCGGGAATACATATACAGGAAGAGTTTGGAAGAGAAACAGCGAGCGGTTGAGGAGAAAAGGGAAAAGATTCGAGATGCATTAGAGAATAACAAGTAAGTCGCAAGATTGTTATAGATATAATTAGCTTTTATTTGTAACGAGAAAGGGCGATAATTAGCTAGGAGCGCTTCAAATTTCTAAAATCTGAGGATCCTTTCAAGCTTCGACGTCTATGAAGTTGTTCGAAGTGCTAGTCACTGGTTTTTCCTATTTATCAAAACCTTTTTCTGGACTTACATAATGGCTACGCCATCGTTACTCTTTTTAAAGTGGAGCCCAAGGCGCGTTATTCATGTTCTCTTTATGTTAGTTGAATGAGAATATAAAGTCCCTCATATGTATCGTATTAAGTAAGCCTTCTAACTTTGTGAGTATCTTGCCGAATCCCGCTTTCAGGTGTATCTTTATTGCCTGACGTTTCGACTTTCGTCTTTTTCGAAGCTTGTTCCTTTATTCCGTCGCTTGTTAGTAGTCTGCACTGTGGTAACACCTTCAACTGGCACACTAACACGTCTCGATTCAAGGATGAAAAAACATGGAACCTTCCTAACATATATGCATAATGCATTAGTTCCTTTAACCATAATTATGTCTCTGCAGCGGATTTCGCGATTAGCATGCCAAAAACAACCTCGCCAGCTTCACCTAGGCAATTTGAATTTTGTCGACCTTGTACCTATCGTAAACTCTCAGATGCTTACCAGTTCTAGTGAAATGAATATCCTGTTCAGTGTTAGTGTTATATCTTAGCTTCAATTAGGAGTTTTTTTGCTGCTAATCTTAATGAATTCAGGAAAATAGACACCTCGTTGCGAAAAGATGCTATCGAACTTGCTAATGGTGCAGAATGGGGTGGACAGGTATTACCTGTTCTTTTATATACTGCTTTTTTCCTTACTATCTTATTCATGGATTTAATTGGATA